GGCTTCTAGCACACTTCCAATTAATAAACAATCAATCTCATCATTGCCTGTGGGGAGCCACAGCCCCAAGATGGCGCCTGGTGCTGAGGTAGAGGTAGAAGTAGAAGAAGATTGTTCAAGGTTTCTGAATAAACTGCTTAAAGAAGAGTTCGTGTGTTGCGTTTCCCTTGCTGGTCGAGGTGGACGCGACGATTGCCTTGTGCTAGTGGGCCTGGCAGACCCGTATGGGATCTGATATGTGTAATGTATATAGGATTACTTCTGTTTCTGATAGTTTCCTGATTTCTACTCCAGATGCAGTAACTATCTTTGACCAGTAGGTGGCACAGGTGTTCAGTTAGTCCATGGTGTTTGACAATGGTGGGTGGCAGCTGTGGAGAGAGGTCACAAAAGCGGCTGCACTTTTCTTAGAGAGGCTGCACTTATCTTAGAGAGTATACGGCCTTGGGCTGCAACCACTGAATGAGGCGCGGCTTTAAGGCCACTGCAAGGACCCTGCTGAAAGCCATGACCTACTCGGTTCAAGGGCTGGAGGCCTCCGGGTGTGGGTAGGCCCCGAGCACACGGTGGTAAAACCGTAGGAGGTCTGTGTGAGTCTCCAAACTGGGAGTAGCTCAGCAGCAATGGGTCGGCTGGGAGCCAGGAACACCTGTGAAGAGAGGGACCTTTCCCCGCCAAGGCCGCAGGTCAGGTGGGACCCACAGCCTGTCCCAAATGGGGTGTAGGTTTCCAATATCCCACTCCTGACACCAGCTATAGTGGGAAATTACCAATACGGAATCAGGTATAAATACAAGGGTATTTAATAGGGAAAAGCCTTACTTACAGAGCAACCTAAGCCAGCTGGCGTGGCAGCAGTCTGTCCAGCAAGTACAAAAGTGAAACCGAAAGAGAAAATGCAGTCCCATGCAAGTATCGCCCTAGTCACCCTGACCACGCCCTCACAAGCATGGTCAGGCACACCTGTAGCCAGCCCCTAAGTAGGTGTGGCTACAGCTTCCCCTACAATGTATGATTTCTACTTATGTAAAACAACTATTATTCATATGTATGTATTTTATGCACACACACACACACACACACACACACACACACACACACACACACAAACACTGGCCACAGTCTACTCTTGTGTTTATTACTAACTACTTTAAACTTTTGACTTCAGTATTAATAGTTTCATTAACTCATTTGTTTTTCATTTCATTTCATTTACTCATTAATTTTCAAATAGCAACTTCATGCCAGGGAAGCATTGCCCCAGAGTATGGACAGTAAACAGGTCCATGGTTGATGTTTACATAAATTCTACTTGGAGGAACTCAAAATAAGTTGGTCAGAATAAGCAAGTAAACTATTAATGGATGCTGGGTGGAGCATGGTGCCACACACCTTTAATCTCAGCATTCTGGAGGCAGAGGCAGGCAGATCTTTGTGAATTCAAGGCCAGTCTGGTGTACATAGTGAGCTCCAGAATAGCCAGGGTTACATAAAGAGATCCTGTCTCAATGAGCAAAATATGTATTAAAGGGAACCAATAAGGTGGAATATTGCAAGGTGAGTAGATAGAAGGTCAAAGGAATCTGGAGGTCAGTACTAGCTCATATTGGAGTCAAGAAAGGCTCTGTGCTAAGGTAATATTGTAGTATATTTTTATTAGCATATAATGGGGGAAGTCCTTTGTGTATATGTCTCTCTTATTGATTAATGAATAAAACACTGTTGGCCAATAGGGAAGCAAGATAGGTGGGACTAGAGAGGAGGATTCTGGGAAATGTAGTAGTGGAGTTGCCATGGTGATCCCGGGAGGAGAGGACGCATGAGTCTTGTGTTCTCGGTAAGATAAGACCTTGAGAAATAGATACATATTAGTAGTTATGGGTTAATACTTAAGACAGAGTCAGCCAATAGAAACTCTAGACATTGGCCAACAGTATTGTAAGTAATAGAGTCTCTGTGTGTTATTTTGGGGGCTAAGGCATCGACGGGACCCAGGCAACAAGCATATATTAGTTATACACTGTAGTAGATTTTATTATGACATGTTGATACACGTAAATAATGTATTGCGGTCATACCCACCTCTGCTACTCTCTCATCTCTCCTGTTCCTCCCTCTTCCCAGCAGGCTCCCCCTTCTACTTCCGTGATGTATATATGCATGTGTCTGTGTGGATCTCTGTGTCTGTGACCCATTAAGTTTCATTAGAGTTGTTTGTAGGCATGTGGGTGAGAGTTTGTTTTTAGAAGCATGGGTGTCAGTTAAGGTAATATTTTGGCAAATATCTGAAGAAAGTGGGAAAAAAAGTCCCAGTAAGAACTGAGAGAGTGTTGCAGAGAGGAAACAGCCAGTGCTAATGTCTTGTGGCAAGAGTGTTTGGTGTGATCTGGAAACAGCAGGTGGCCAAAGTGGAGGAGTAGACACGGAACTATTAGGAAACAAACATCCACCAGGCTGGCCTTGGGGGCCAGCTGTGAGGGCATTGCAGATGAGATCCAAGGGTTTCTGGCGTACAACTCTTTATAATCCTAGGGCCTTCTATGTGTAAAGAGATATGCAATTAGATATAAACTGAAAACTCACAAAATGATGGGAATCCTAAACAAGCCACTAAAGTGAAATAGAAATAACAATATACTTTTACTAATTAAGTTACTTCCATGTATTGCTTTTCTTCCTTTCATCAGCGCAAGGTAAAAAATCTCATTGGTTGCTTCTTCATATTATTTGGTAATGCTGTTTTGCACAGGATGCATAAACATAATTTGGTATTTAGTTTGTTTGATTATAACTTGTCCTTTCATTATTTGTCAGATAGAAATATTTTAGCCAGTCATGGTGGGGCAGGCCTCTAATACCAGCACTTAGAAGATGGGAAGTACATGATCAAGATGTCTAGGCCTTGACTACATGAGACCCTATCGCAGAAAGATAAGCAAAATTAGGGGGAAAAAATCCCTTCAATTTTGCAACTTTCAATGTTTATTAGTAGTTTTGTGAGCAATTTTAAGGATTGTTTTCATCTGGGAAAACTCTTCTCAGATTTCTTTTTCATATGAACGATATGATTTATGAAGTACTTGCTGCACATGCCTGTGATTGTAGGTACTGAAGATGCTGGGACAGGCAAACCATTGTGAGTTTGAGGAAAGCCTGGGTTCTATCCTAAGACCTTGTCTTAAAAAACAAAAAAAACCAAAAACAAAATAATCAGCCAGAAGAGATTTTGTATAATGCCTACAGTGCAACTTTCGGTTCTATTCCTTTACAACCCTTTTTTCTTCTATTAGCCACATAGTGTTGACCTGATACAGAAGACAAATTCCTGTATTGTGACCTCTGACCTTGAACTTGAATGTCACAAAGTAAGTTGGTACACAGGGTGGCAGATACATTCCTGGAATCCATCTCTCCACCAGCAAAAGCAGGTGTTCTCAACCTGTGGGTCACAGCCCCTTGAGGTTCCAGCTGCTCTTTCACAGGGATTGCCCAAGACCATTGGTAAACACAGACACTTACATTACAATTCATAACAGTAGCAAAATTACAGTTGTGAAGTAGCAATGAGAATAATTTCATGGTTGGGGGGTCACCAGGACATAAGGAACTGTATTAAAGGCTCGCAGCATCAGGAAGGTTGAGAACCACTGCTCTAGAGGAACTGAGTCACAACCACTGACCCAAACTCAGTGCTTGTTTAACTAAAAGCCTTCACTGGGCTACAGAGTCCTGGCTTTGGTCCTTGCACTGCAGGGGAGGGCCCTGTGGAGAGTGCAATGTGAAGGACAGAGGAGGGGCTCATGGAGCAGGGGGAATGTGAGGAAGCTGATGGTCTTGCTGCAAAAGAAAGTCAAAACACAGACATAACAAATTCTGTGAGTTCCAGGAAAGCTGACTGAGCCACAAGGCTACGATGCGTTTCCTGGTTAAGTCATGCCCACCCACTTCAGGCCTAGTTCCTTTCCTAAAGATCGATGATTCAGCAACTGTAGTGTACTTTTCAGCTTTTAGTCCTGCTGGGAGTCTTTTGAGTTCAAATGTCACCAACAACATCTTCATTGCTTCCCTTCCTGTTTGCTGCTGTATGAACGCTCGCAGGGATGGCTAGGCAGCCATCCGCCACCAACACGATTGAGATGTTCTCGAGGAACTCTTTTTATTACTTTAAACCTTTTTGGGGCAGGCACAGTAGCACACTTCAGCTTCCAGAATGAGGCAGGAGGAACTCAAGTTTGAAGCCACCTTGCATCAACAGGTATGTAAATAAGTAAATAAATAAATAACTCTTTAGTGCCTAGCAATTTAATACTTTGTATTGTTAAATATTCCTTTACTTCATGAAGAAATGTTTGACTCACATCTTTAAGGCCTTTATTGCTTAAGAACTTTATTCCATTTATTTGGGAGTTAACTTGATGATATATTGTCTTGGACCAGTAATTAGCAAACCTTGCTTGTAAAAGGTCATGTAGTACACAGTTCAGGGTCTGTAGGCCAGATGGATTCTGTCAGAACTACACAGCAAGACTGTTGTGTGCCTGAAGTGGCCATGGACAATTATGTAAACAAACAGTCAGGCTGTGTTCCAATAGAACTGTATTTACATAAGCAGACCCTGGGACCACATTTAGCTCACAAGCTGCAGTTGGCTAAGCCCTGCTTTACAGTTGTCTTCTAGCTCTCTGTCTCAGCTCTCAAGTGCAACCTCCATGAGTCTGGCATCTCCATCTTCATAGTAATGAACCTCATGTGTCCCCTATTTACCACATGGCGATGCCCTAAGGGCCAAGTGAGATGTTAGTTATGGAAATCACATTTAAAGTACCAGTAGCAAGAATTTGTATATTTCTCTTCCCAATGAAATGACAATACATCTCCTTACCCTTCTGTTGGTGGAGTTTTTCATCCTTCCAGCCTGCTCCCAAATAACCACACAGAGACTTACTAATAACTATAAATGCTCAGCCAATAGCTTAGGCATGTTACTAACTAGCTCTTACAACTTAATTTAACCTATATTTCTTATCTACGCTCTGCCACAGGGTGGTACCTTTTTTTCATAAACAACCACAGGGGGAAATAATGGCTTTTGCTATCTTAGGCATACCATAGGGTCTTGCATTAAGTATTGGTTCCCTATAGCATCTGGAAATGAGTAAACCCTGTGGTGACAGCAAGTTGTACTTATTTTTAGTCTGAAGAGAGAGAGAGTAAACTATGTATAGTCTTGAAAGATCCTCAGACGGAGCAGAAATTTTGCCAGGTATTTACTGGAATCTTGAGGACTTACCTAGCTGGAAATGTGTCTTTTAATGCAGGAGTTGGCTGGTACTGGGTAAGGACCATGGCATAGCAATTCAGGATTGGTGGACACAGTGTGGTAAGATGCTAAAGACGGGTTCAGAGTCTTATTCTATCATTTGAGAGTTTCTATTGAAGAGTTGATGAGTCCTCCAGGAAGTTGCTGGTCTGGAAAGTCATTTGTAACTTTTGGTTTTATGGCCAAATTTCCTGCAATAGTAAAGTTACATGGTGAACACATTAGGATAGTAAAGTGGTGACGTAGGTAAGTTAGTTGTGCAGACAGATTGTCAGTCTCTGGCCACACACATGTAAATATGTGAATCCCTGTGTTCTGCTTTCTTATTATATGTATTCCATTGCCCTGTTTCTCATCTCCATTTAGACTTTTTCTCTCCCTCAGAATCTCTCTTTCAAGTTTTATAACACACATATTATCCACACACTCGG